TAGCCTGGGCAACATGGCAAAACCCTATCTCTACTGAAAATTCAAAAATTAGCTGGATATAGTGGCACATGCCTGTAATCTCAGCTACTCGGGAGGCTAAGGCAAAAGAATCACTTGAACCCAGGAGGTGGAGGTTGCAGTGAACCAAGAACATACCACTGTACTCCAGCCTGGGTGACAGAACGAGACTGTGTCTCAAAAACAAAAGAAATAAATTTTAAAAAAAATCAAAACCTAGGAAGCTTGGCCCTCTTTAAACAGAAACAATGTTTTGCTATGAGACCAGAAATCCTTGCTATACACTGGCTGCTCCCTGTGGCTCACATGTGGTTGTTGCTATATATTCAAAAGTTGCCCAGTGCAGAAACAAGTACTAGGAGAGCTTATCTCTGAAAGTAATAAGTAACTGAGCTCCGGCCCCACTGATAATTACTGAAAAATAATAATATCAATAATAGCTGCTAACATTCTTAAAAGCTTACTATATAACAGGTCCTAAATTTTCTCATTTAGTCCTCACCACAACCCTGTGAAATGGGTTCTCTAATTATCCCCATTGTACTAGTGAAGAAACCAAGATGGAGACAGAGTGAGTGACACAGGTCACAAAGCAAGTGAGAAGCAGAGCCACATTTCTCAACCCAGGCAGTCTGGCTACAAACCACCCTCTTGACAGCTGGGTTTCACTGACCCTTCAACAACTACAGGGTAATCATGAAGGCCAGATTCCAACTAGGGCCAATGTATACTGTAGAGCTTGCCCTGCATGGTTGGGTATAACCAGACAGGTGAGCAAAGGGTGAGCCAGGGTTGCCACAGACAAAACAAGGTGATCTCTGGTGCCCAGAAGGAATTCTGTTTGGGAGCAGAGAGTAGAGTTGGAGGAGTACAGCTACTTCACTCCAAGTCTCAGTAACTTCTAGTGATAGGAGATCTGAGACCTAGGAAGGGCATCGTGGTGGATGGGCCAGGATGGTGATCAGACAGAAGGGAGGACAGTGCTTGGAGTTCAGGCAGGGTATCTCACAAGTTCAGTGGTAGCCAGCATGGCCCAAAATACCAGCCTGGAGTTTGGAGGGAGGGGGTCCAGTCCATGGGAGAGAAACTGGCAGATTATCGTTTGGCCAGAGCTCAGGGACTGTATTTGGTACCAGGGCTCAGAAACAAGGACGAGTCCAGTTACCGAACCCAGGACACTGTCCAGATCAGATGAGCAGAAAGGGTAGCTAGCTTAACATTGAGGGAGAGGTGCTAAAGACCCTTGGATGTCACCTAAGGAGGTTGGACTTCATACTGTGATCTCACCTAGGGGGCTGCTATATACATGTAACACCACAAACTGGGATGATATTATGTCTTCTTTCTAATAATCTCTCAAAAACTCTATGTATAAATGATCTTTTGTGCACAAAAGTGGATGTTCATGCATTAAAAAGGGCTGTAAAAAGTTTTTGAAAGTGAGTGGATACATGGTTAACCCTAAAATAATGTCAGTTTCATATTCTGACTTGCTTTCTTGAAGAGGAGAGTAAGAGATACAGATGTAGTTGGCATGTTTGCATACCCCCGGGATGCTGTGTGAAGGTGCCATGCATGTCTATGTCAGCTTATATATCACAATCGAGAAAAGGCAGAAAATTGCCCTCCAAGGCAATGGAAGTTGGTCTGAGGGTGTGCAAGGGTATTATAAGAACAATTGTGTGTGATTGTAAGTCCTCCTATAATATTTGAATTAGATAGATAGATAGATAGATAGATAGATAGATAGATAGAATAAAAATAAATTTGTCAGGGTTAGTCCTACAATAAATTAAAAGGGGTGGGGGTCATAGGGACAATATGTTGACATATTGTCACAGCCAGGAAAAATAAAGGCAATCTAACTGGCAGATACGAGAATTAAAAAAAAAAAAAAATGACAGTAGCCAGGGACCATTTATTGTGGTCGTAAAAAGGTTCATACACCTCTCGGAAATCGTTGTAATGCAGCAAGTGTTAGACTTTATGGGACCAGTTGCAATATTGAGTCCCCAGTTAAGATTAGAATATCCCCCTTACACCCTATTTAAGGAGGCAGGTAGCCAAGAAACATATATTAGGCAGATTTTCATCAAAAGTACCTAATATCACAAGTGAAAGAAGGCATTGTTTCCTTCATGGCACTTAAGCTGTGGTACATTTTTTATATTATCCTCATTGAACCTCCCAAACTGTATGCCCTGTGCAGGCGAGGACCATGTTCACCCTGGCTTCCCCACGAGGGAAGCACCTTTCATGGAGGTTGACTTTCCTCAAGCCACTTGTGGCATTTGTCCTGCTCTGGACCTGCCCTGAGATGAGATGTGGGAGGACGTACAGGCTTCTTCCCAGTCAGGCCTCTGAGATGCCTTCCACTGAGTCCCCATCAACTGAAAGAATTTCATCCACTTCCTCCGCCCCATCTAGCTGTGCAGGAATGTCTTCTGTGATTGCTGCTGTGAAGAAAAGCTTTCACTTTAGTGAAAGGCCTCAGTACTGCCTCAAACGTTAAATGTTGGGCTTCTTGTAAAATTCTATTTTTGTCCTCTCCAGGTTTCTAGACAGAGACCTAGGAAAAGGCCCTAAGCAGATACAGTGGTGGGAGCCCCATGACCCTCATTTCAGTTCACTGCCAACCTGGGTGCCCAGCAGCTTCGTCCGTGAGATCTGGGCTTATCCAGCAATGAAGCCTCTAGGGAGCAGCCAGCACCTGCCGGAGGGCTCTGATCCACCACACAGCTGTGAGAGTGGCCTAGCCCTGTAAAAGAAGTGGGCTGGGAGCCTCCACACCTGGGTTCCACTGTCGGAGGCAGGCCATCCCCACCCCTCCCTACACTGCTGTTCTCCCCTCGTCCCTTCATCCCTTCGTCCCTTGGTCCCTTGGTCCCTTCCCCTCTCCTTTCTCCTCCCTCCTTCCTCCTCCCTGACATCCTTTCCCTCTCTCCTCCCCTTTCCTTTATTGTTCCTTCTCAGATGACATAGATCAAATTGCTAGTTTTCCTACTCCAAGAATCAAGGTTACTCCCCTCCAGAGGCTCTTCCCAGTGCCCTAAGGCAAAAACTTCAGCACAGAATAAATAGCTATGAATTTGCCCCCCTTGGTTAGAGAGATGGGGCTATTCATGTCCACAAGACACTTACCTGTGAAGAATCAGAAGTATTTTAAACAGGTGGGACTTTACCGTTACTGTTCTCCTTATAAAGAGTTACACATTTGCTTAACTGGAGGCTTCTCATGTGGCTTTGCTTCCCCTACCCCAACAGCAGGCCTGGAAGATGATTACAGAGGTGTTTATGATGAACAAGAGTTGAAGAAAAGTCCCTAAATGTCTAGCAAATGTGGATTCACAGGAAGGACTCTGGTGGAGGTTGGGCCAGACCTCTCCCCAGCCCTCCCACCCTGCCCCACTCCAGCTGAAGCAGGCAGAGGGACGCTCCCTGGAAACAGAGGAAGTTTGAGTTTCAGGGCCCCTCACTTGGTCTGGCCCTCCAAGGCCCTGGGAAGATCCCCAGTACTGTGTTCCCATGGTCTCATATTTTTGTAAGATTTGCAAAAAAATACATAGTTTCAACACAGTGTTGGGTTCAACTGCTGTTTCTTTCCACTACAGCTGCCTTTTCCTCATACTTCTCCTCTGATCAGATGGTATTGGAATAGCTGTGGGCATTTGGGGGATCCAACTAAGGGGAAACTGAATTGAGAGTGAATTTAGTTTAGATTGAATGGGATACATTCGTGTGGGCTGCAGTCACTTCTGTGCATGGCTAAGCCACTGCTGTCCACCCCAGAGTAGGAATGGCTTACAGCAATAATGCACAAGTCTGAATTAAATATAAACGTGTCCTATGGTGCCTGGCATCAGAAGTCTGTGGGTAGTGAAGGAAAAACAAGGTTTGAGATGCATTGAGCTAGGCTGGAGACTCTGTTGAAAATTCTTCTAATCATGAGATATATAAAATGCAGTTTTCATTGATGCCTCATCAAAATGGAAATTCAGTAATATATTCAATGACAAAGCATGTACACTGATAAGTACACTGTGCATTGCTTATGGGAATTGCATAAAATAAAATTTATCAGAAATCTTGCATTTGCGGGACCTTACCCTGTAGCAGTGAGGCACATAGCAAGCAAGCATGTCTGTGTGTAAGAAATCGTGCCTTAATGCCTTCCAACTATCAACAATTTTTATCAGTCTTGCTAGAGGAAAGACTGCCTTATCTTTTTATTCTCTAATACAAAATCATTATCATATAAAGAGAGGAGCAAAGTTAGGAGGCAAAAATTCCAGAAGAAAGTTATTTTAGCAGTGTGTCAGACAGTTAATTAATTAAAATGTTTTGTGTTTGTCCTGGGCTTTGAGAGGTCTATTGCAGTTGCCAGCTTTAAAAACATAGTAATTTTTTTGTGACTTACCCTTCTGAAGAGTCACTTTCACTCCCAATTTTGTATTTATATTTTTGTATTATTTTCCTTAAAGAGAGAGCCCCCAAACTGTATACGCCTCAGACTCCACAGTCTGAATCCTCCCTATGGGGAAGTCTCTAGAAAAACGTTCTGTTTACTCTGCCTCAGGAAACACTGCTCCAGGCTGGACACACACATTCCCAGGACATTTTGGTCAATGGGTGGTTGCCGAGGTACCAGGCCACCTTCTCTCTAGAATGTGTGTTTTTGGGGCTATGGAGGTCTTTTTCCTGATGGCTGCTATCCTGGGTTTCAAGGATGCTTACCTTGCCAGGAAAGACAGTAGTGAAGAGCTGCTGTTGATGCTTAACTTCTCCAGCATCCTGAGGCCCAGCTGTTCAAGTTCTTATTTTGGTATAAATCTGAGGTTCTTTTGATTCAAGAAGAGGTAGGATAGTTTTCTGCCAAATCTTTTCTCAGATACACATTGTGTTTGGGTTAGGTCATCTGACACGCAAGACTGTCTCATTCCTTCTGCAGCAGGGATTGACCAGTTTTCGGTTTTCTTTAACAGAGTTGGCGTGGACCTGGATGAAAATTTGAAGGAGGATCCCTCCTCACAGCACCAGGCAAGTCAAAGAAACCAATGCACAGAATATAGAGATATGATTGTTCTGTTCCATAGGCTGTTCCATGTTTGTCCAGCACGTGACCAAGGAGCTATTTCTAAACGGAGCTTCCTCTGCTGATAAAAGAAATGAGATTACAATAAAATACAAGGGAATTCAGGGTGTTGATAACTTCTAGCATATGAATGCTTAGAACTAGCATGTACTTGCAAGCCTCTCTATGGCAGCACGAAGCCTGGAAACTTTACAAAGTACAAGCAATACCGTGATGGCTCTTAGAATGAGGCACTCCATAGTTAAAATCCCTACCCAGCAACTTGCTAGCTAGCCGACTCAGTGAAATTTACACAAAGTATGTCCAATGCATGTTGCACAAACAACAAATTGACTTATTTCTCCTGGACGGCTTCTCATTTATCCGGTCTGAGGCCCAAGAAACTGTCTAGGTGATCCATTCCGGACTTAATTGAACAACAATTATCTACAGAGACCTGAAAATCCTTTGGGGTAATTGTTTTAGAACAATGAGCTCTTCCCTGATATATTAGTTCGTTCTCACAATGCTGATGAAGACATACCCAAGACTGGGTAATTTATACAGGAAAATGGTTTAATGGACTTACAGTTCCACATGGCTGGGGAGGCCTCACAATCAGGGCAGAAGGCAAGGGGAAGCAAGTCACATCTTACGTGGATGGCGGCAGTCAAAGAGAGAGCTTGTGCAGGGAAACTGTTTTTAAAACCATCAGATCTAGTGAGACCCATTCACTCTCACAAGAACAGCATGGGAAAGACCCGTCACCATAATTCAACTACCTCCTACCAGGTTCCTCCCACAGCACATGGGAATTGTGGGAGTTATAATTCAAGATGAGGTTTGGGTGGGAACATAGCCAAACCATATCACCTCAAGTGGGGGAAATGCATTCTCCAAACTGAATTTGAACCAAACGTCAAAGTAGAATCTGTCATTGTCGGTTTTGCACTAGCCATTTTAAACTCGGTACTTGATACAAATAAGCAAATGCAGGGAAATTTTACACCTTTTTGCTGAAATTAGAAGTAGACAGACATAGATGTAATAGGAGAATATCATAAATAAGTGATATTACTTAATGAATTGTGTTATGAGCATATTTGTATTCTAAGGGACTCCCTCTCTTTTATTTCATGCTTATTTTTCCAATAATGCCATCAATGAGACACAATTGGTGAGTTTTCCTGGGCAAGACACTGCTTTCCTGGCACACACAGATGAGACAAAGAAAGGAGCCTGTGCTCTGCGGAAAAGGCTGGGAAATTAAGTTGGTGATGATCCTGGCTCTCATGTACTTTGAGGTTTTTTGTCACATGTGTTCCAAGGCCAGGCAGTTTCCACAGACTCCATTGTCCAGGAAACACACCTAACTGCAGGATGGAGCACAGCAGGGGTGCCCAAAGCACTGGGATTAGAGCCAGCCTGGTGACCTTAGAAAGGAGATCAAAGCCCATCTCCTTACACTGGTGGGCTATAATGAATAGTCAGTAATGTCTGGTGGTGGCTGATTTTTAAAAAGCATTTTCATCTTGTATCAGTCAAATAATTCATTCTCCTACCTTCAAGCAAAACTTTTATCTAAATTTTGTCCTTCTTGCATACCTTTTTCTTTAAAAGAAGAAAAGACACAATTATAAAATTCATCAAATAAAATTCTCTATCTTCTAAATGCCTAATATTCTACAATCATATATACCATTATCGGTAAAAATTTCCTACTAGCCTAAATGCTTTCTTTTATAATTTAAATGTATTTTATTTTATCTCATTCATGTGACACTTTAAAACAAAGTTCATTATTAAATCAGTAACAACTCTTACCTGAAGATATTGTAGCAATAAAAGTCACTTTTTTATTAGAGAAATAGGATAGCATAACATAGAACAGTGAAAACCCTGTGATATTTGGGGTCTTGGGCAAGGTGTTTACGCCTTTGGGTCTCAGTTTCCCTCTCTATAAAATGTAAATGATAACGTCTACCCCTCCAGGCTGTTATTTATGATAAGGAAAATTGGGTTTATGAAAATGACCCAACTTAATTAAGCTAAACCCATCTCATTTTATGAATGATTGGAGACAGCTTAAACCACCACATATAATAATAGTAAAATATTTTTATAGAATTTTAAAAATCAGTAAAAAATATTAATAAGAGCAGATAGTCAAAACTAGAGGGGTAAAAAGAATCATGAATAAGCAGATCATAAGGACTTATATACTTGCTGTAGTCAAACCATAAGTAAGCTTTCTGATGGCCAAAGGGGAAATAAAGAAATAATAATTGGTAATTTATTAAATTCATATCATTAGAAGGAAAAATCATACCCTCTCCTCAAGTGATACAAAACATCACTATGTTTTTAAAGAAATCTCTCACTTGGGGCCTCCTGTAGAGGACACATAAAGCACTATCTAAATGTTAAGTAAGTAGCATTATCATTGGCATGGCTCTTCCTGAACTGCTGCTACCTACAAATTATTTTATTTTTAAGAAGTATCCTATAGGTGTTCTTATTCATGATAATGTTTGATTACCAAAGAAGTTACATTTCAGAAAGAGGTTTTCTCCACATATTGGGATAATTCTTATCTTCAGTATCAAGTACAGGAAACAGTGGGCTCTGATGGGAGGTAACAAGCTATAGTGTCCGCACAGCTGCCACTGAACCTGGACCATTTTTTGGTACTTTCCAAACTGTCAAGAACCTCTCTGCTCTCATTTTGCCTGGCAACACCTGTCTTATTATCAACATCTCTTGCTCTGTTGGATTATATAATGTAACCCCAATTCTTAGGAGGACTGTATGTTTCCCCATGATTTGCATTTATTAAACTGGGTTTGCATTAACAAATAGGTTAATCCTTGTAATGGGCAGGCTTAATATATAAACAAAAGACCCTTCTTACTTACCAAAAGCTAAAAATTTTGCAGGTAGTTATAGTTGTTACTGATTATACACTCTCAAAATCAAGAATAAACTATATAATTATATATATTTAAAATTATATATATTAATATGTTTTTAAATTTTTTCTTTGTTCTCTGTTGTGGAAAGTAAAATAACTTTTGGGAATGTGAACTTGTAGCTGTGGCTAACTACTAATGTCACAACTTTCCTTTTTGCCATACAATATGTTTAGAATGTGAATGGTGTTACACGATTATTTGCACCAGGCACAAAAGCTTTAGAAAGCATGTTCCATATGCAGATATTACACTCTGGATGTATACTTCATGCAAACGTGCTAATCTGAGAACTGGAAGATATTGCAGTTGTGAATTTCATGCCTCTTAAACGTGAAAAACAAAACCCTCAGGTAGCCTCCCACACAACAGGAAGTTTCCCTTGTAATTGACTCCTTGTACTTGAAAGCACACCTTTTCAGAGTAGATGATTGTCACTGGAGCACCATACTTGCCTTCAGTCTTTTAATAGAAAACTCCTGCTACTCAAGGAAGGCTGCCAGTATTGCTTCTCTTTTTCCCTTTTGCCATTTGATCGTACTCATTCCCATATTCTTTGGGCACTAGTTATTATTCTTAACACTGCTCTAAGCACCTAATACGCGTTTGCTCACTTAATTTCCAAGATAACCCTGAGTGGGTACTATAATTATCTGCATTTTACAAATAAGGAAATTGTACACAGAGACAAAACTTGCCCAAGAACACACAGAAGGGAGAGGTGGAATCTGAACCCGGACAGTTTGGTTCCAGAGTTTCCACTTAACTGGGATGCATGCATATATTCATTCATTTACTCATACAAGTAATTCTTGGTACCCACTCCTATGGCACTAACCTAGATGTGCCTAGAGGATTCAGGAGTTACCAATTCAAAGTTGTCTTCCTCCCAGAGTATATACTGTAATGGGGGACACTGATCAGAGAAAGGTGAACTACATTCTGTGCTTTCAAAGCATGATCACAGTAAAGCAGGTCAGAGGATAGAGAACAGGGGAGGAGGCTACTTGGTCAGGGTAGAAGTGGCATTTGATCAGAGGCCAAATGATGTGTAGAAGAAACAATCCATGTGAGAAGGGGTTGAGGAGAGGTGGTCTGGCAGAGGCTACAGCAAGTATGGAGGCACTGGAGTCACAATGGGTTATGGTGTGCACAAAAGCAGCAGGAAGGCCAGCATGGCTGGAGCTGAGTAAGCAGGGTGGGAGCGGATGGAGGAAAAGTGGGAAAAACAGACAGAGGCAGGGGCCAGTCCATTGCCCATGGTGTTAGGTTTGAGTTTTTTTCTAATGTGATAGACTCCCTTGATGGTTTGGTTTGGAGCTTGAAAGTAATAGAATTAGCCCATTAAAAAAAATGTCTCCCCATTCCACCCTGCCAGCTGTTACGATGAGGATAATTTTCATCTTTTTACATACAATTTCCTTTTCTAACACTATGCTTGTTTCTTTATGGTTTCTCGATGTTACCTTCCAAATTTCTTTTGTTTCTGAAAGTCCCTTCATTGAAATTCTGGTTTTGGTTGTCCTTTATTCTTGTGTGTAACCTGGGTAGATCAGTTCTGGTCACTGCAGCACATGAAAGTGAGCAGAGCTGAGAAAGGTCTGAAGAAGGGCAACTTCAATAACTGACAGAGGGACCTGCTGTCAGAGCAACGGGGATTAAAAGGATTAGGATTTTTCCATCAGAAAGACTAGAACGAAGAAGGGATACAACAAAGTATCTGTAAAAATATGAAAGGTGTAAAGCGAATGAAGACTTGTTTGCTAACTCCCAGAAAACCATAACTTGGAATACCTTTGAAGCCTAGAAGAGGCCATAGGTGAATAATAGAAGTATTTGTTCTTCTGCACAATTGATAGTTCTTATTCACAGTCATCCAGAGTTGCAAGACTTGGAAATATAAGTAGGTTCAAGAAGGGAAGAGATTAATTTAGTAGATAGTGGGGTCATCATGGTCATTAAATAAAATTTTTCTTTGTGAATATTTTCAAATGTTC